CCTCTCAATCAATTCCCAGACTTGAGTCAGTTTACAGACCCACAAGCCCTTGAATGAAGGGGAGGCCAGGCCCCTTTGAGGAAGGACCCCACTACATTGGCAAAAACCTATAACATCAATCTTTCTCCCAGCCTTCCCCAAAGGGATCTGAGGCCTTTTATGAGAGTGATTGTTCATTGGGGGAAAGGAAATAATCAAACTTTTCGGGGATTATTAGACACTGGCTCTGAACTGACACTAATTCCAGGAGACCCAAAGCGTTATTGTGGCCCACCAGTCAGAGAGGGGGCATATGGAGGTCAAGTTATTGATGGAGTCTTAGCCAAGGTGCATCTCACAGTGGGTCCAGTGGGTCCCCAAACCCATCTGGTAGGATCTCCCCAGTTCCAGAATGCATAATTGGAATAGATATACTGAGCAATTGGCAAAATTCCCAGATTGGGTCCTTGACATGTGGAGTAAGGGCTATTATGGTAGGAAAAGCCAAGTGGAAGCCATTAGAACTGCCTCTACCTACAAAAATAGTGAATCAAAAGCAATACCACATCCCTGGAGGGGTTGCTGAGATTACTGCCACCATCAAGGACTTGAAGGATGCCAGGGTGGTAATTCCCACCACATCCCCATTTAATTCACCTATTTGGCCTGTGCAATAAGCAGATAGATTTTGGAGAATGACAGTATATTATTGTAAACTTAATCAGGTGCTGACTCCAATAGCAACTGCTGTTCCTAATGTGGTTTCATTGCTTGAACAAAGTAGTACATCTCTTGGTACCTGGTATGCAGCTATTGATCTGGCCAATGCCTTTTTCTTTCTTTCTTTTTTTTTTATTATTTACTCATTTATTAGCAAACAGGTCTCAAGGATGAGGGTTTTGAGGATGGACAGAGTTAGAAATGATCTAGATTAAAGAAGTCAGCAGACCAAAGTTGAGATTCTAGGGCTTCTGGTGACAGTCAATGGGCCCCAATGACCCTGAGGGTAGAAGAAGACAGCACCAAAAGGGGGGATGGTAAGGGGCATCTGTCAATGGAATCGCCCAGTGTACATGGTACTGTTTTGTTGTTGGTAACCTTGGTCTGTGAGAGGTTGGCTTGGGTCTTTTTTT